TTGTATACTGGGCCCCAAAACCTTATTCTAATTATCAAGGCCCCATATTCCTTATATCCATGGCGCAGAAAGCGGTAGCTGGGCTTCTCCCAGAGGATCCTTGGTACTGTTCTGGGGGATACTTCTTCAAACCATAGTAGTAATTCCTAATATAGAAACCCCTACATTCTACCAAAAAGGTACTTGAGAACGCTTAAAAGGACCCTAGACCCTAAACCCTAAACCCTAAACCCTAAACCCTAAACCCTAAACCCTTAGAGGAACCCTTAAGGCCTTAAAGGGTACTCAGGACCCTCTGGATCTAGTCTAGGACGTTTTCATGTGGGTAGCTACCGTTATAGGAGCCTTATAGAAGGTCTCTCTACCTTATAGAAGCCTTATAGAAGCCCTACAAACCCTAAACTCCCCGCCTGTAGTTTCCTTGTAAGGTCTAGGGTTGGATCCCAGCTGTGATCCCAGAGGATGCGCCAGCTGCTGGCCAGAGCTGCAGAGATCCAGGCAAGCGTGTTTATGGGTTTAGGGCTTTTCGGGTTTAGCTCGCATTAATATAGGGGAATAGGGTTCCTTTAAAGGGATCCAGGGTTTAGGGTTTAGGGTTTTTCGGGTTTAGGGTTTGTAGGTTTAGGGCTTAGGGTCTATTAGGGTTTTGGGGTTTAGGGTTTGGGTGTTTTTCGGGTTTAGGGTTTATAGGTTATAGGGTTTAGGTTTTTTAGGGTTTAGGGTTTATAGGTTTAGGGCTTAGGAGTTTTTAGGGTTTTCGAGGTTTAGGGTTCAGGGTTCTGGCTATAGGACAGGGCGTGGAGTTTGGGGTTGAGCGGCCTGGCTCGCGTGTTTTTCTTTTTTTTTTTTAAATGGGGGTTGGGTCAGTTAGAGGGGTGTATAATGCGCTAGGTCTTAAACCCGACCGTGTTGTTGTTTATCGTTTTTTGGTGATTTTGGAAGGCTTCATCATACCTACTACAGGGGCCTCAGTCATTACCTATATTATTTTGGGTTTCGTTATAGTTATTATAACTATACTATAAAGGACCCCAAACCCCTATTCAAAGGCCCCTATCTTAAACATAACCATAGGTTCAACAAAAAGTGGGATGGTGCTCTGAACTTCCCGAAGCCGAAAATTGGCATGAACTGCACACGCACACAGACAGACAGACAGACACACAGACACACACAGACACACACACACACAGACACACAGACACACACACACACCTAACATCCTAAGCCCAGGAAGAATCCAATTTAGGCGCAACCCCGAGCAAGAAACAGCAGAGCTGAGACCCTGAAGTCTTCAACTTCAAAGCATAAGAGGTGAAACCACAATAATCTCAATTCCTTGTAGAAAAGGTAATTATATCACTGACATTAATTACATTAAAGAGACTAAGAGTAGTACCTAGGGGTCCATTTGACCGCACTTTCAGTGGTCAATGGTTTTTGGGCCATATGTGCGTGAAAAGGGCATATGTGCGTGAATGACCAAATATCGCATTTCACGGAGGGGACGTGAAATTCACAGGGAGGGCGGGAAATTCACACGGACTCCAAAGTCGCATAATTCAATGAGACCTGTATATATTGGTGTAGTTTCGGCTCAAATGGCTCAACCCCCCAAATCTCTATTGGTTTAGAAAACTATTTAAATTAAGGCTCGACCCGGCTCAAACCCTCTCTGGGGGGAACGTCGCTGCAAAAAATAAGTTTAGGGGTATCCAGTATATTTTTGTAAATGTACGTTAGGAATGACCAACCCAGCATATGCGGCCTTTCCTTGGAATTTCTTGAATCCTGAAGCCCAAGTCTTTTGATCTAGGGTACTGGTGTGTATATACTTATCCCCATGCAAACCTGCTGAGGAAGTACGGGTGCTAGTATTCAACTCAACCACGACTCCTCCCCTTAACTTAAAGCATCCTCTGCCAGGATTTGGAAAGGCTCCAGGACGTGTGCACACGCACATATGTATATACATATATGATAAGGTTGATATACTCATATGACACTGCCTACATATGCCATTATATATACGTACCGAGCCACATACCTACAAATCTACCACCTATACTGACAGACCTACCTACCTAAATACCTACCTACCTACCTACCTACCTACCTACCTACCTACCTTGACTACCTACCTACCTGCCTGCCTGCCTGCCTACCTACCTACCTCCTACATACCTACCTACCCACCTACCTGCATGTACTCACATACACATGCACATCTCACATACACATGCACATGTGTATGTATGTACAGACATGTTTAACATATCTATATATATACGCATATATTCGTTTATGCGTATATCTATAAGCTCTGTACTTTCAACCTTCGGACATATATGCATACTCAAACCCATGGCGGCTCATATATATTTTCATGGAAGTGCTCTCGTATGCTACACGTGTACACACACATGCGCACGCATACTTCGTTCAGCATATATAGCATACGTCCTTACACGCACACACACACACAGATGATACATTAAGTGGATATATACACGCCCTCACACCATGCAACCTTTGTACGAACAGGTTCGTATATATGATCATATATATATATATACTACATTAAATTCCACCTGCACGTACAGCTTCATACATACATGGTAGATACACACCAAAACCAAAGACAAATTAATATCACACTACAGAATAGACAGATATAATAGTTAGGGAAAGGCGAGGTCGTCGTCATGGCGATCTCGATGGATCCTGCGGTGAGGTGCTTATGGGAATGGGATCCAGGTTAAATTTCAGGATTTTCGGGCGGTTTTGTAAGCTTCAATGCATGGTGTATGGGCTCGGGCTTGGGAGCTGGGATCAGGAAATACCGGACTAAGTACACGAAGAGCCGTATCGACAATGGGCTTAACAACATTTGCAAAAGATCTGAGGGATAGGGTGGCCGAATATTGCCGTGCCTGAGATCGTTCCTCGTATGGGCCTAGGGGCCCGGTT